GAAAGCGAATTTTGGGAATGATGAGGGCAACAAATGTATAGGTGTGCTTTACACAATTGATCTATGTATTGTGATGAATTGCATGAGCCCCAATAAAATGACTGGAAAAAAAAAGAGTGAAGGGGTGAAGTTTAGCCTGTCAATCAGGTCACAGCTTGGTGACCTCATCTGGAGGCACTGAGGAGATGAAATAGCTTGTTGGAGGCAGGACACACGCTCACTCCCTGAGATACTCTCTACTGACAAGACACATGGAACTATGCTAGTGTCCTGAGCTGAAGCAACCACGTGGAGAGCCCTGCCAGTGCTGAGATGCTTACAATGCCACTGGATCCACAAGACTTCCCACCCACTGGCCTGTGATCTTCCTGCATTCAGCATCATTACATGTGCTTTCTAAGTCTGAAGAGGACTTTACAGATGGGTATCAGACATAGGGGCTTATATCAGACTTGTGGACTTGATCTGGACTAGGCTGGGGTGTTTTCTCAATATTCAATTGCTCTTGTATATAAGACTCTTTCTTAGACACATATGAGTGTGTCTATGAATTTGTTCCTCTAGTCTACCCGGACTAACACACCCCACATTACTATGTGTCTACCTTCTGGTTAGTAATTCACCTCCTCTTCTCCTCCCACCTCATGGGGCTGCTAACTGAAAAGGCGACCGTCCAGAACCAGCAGCTGCTCCTCTAGAGCAAGAGGGGGCCTTCTACCCCTGTAAGGAGTTACAGCCCTGGAAGCCCACAGCGGCAGTTCCACCCTGTCCTATAGGGTTGCTGTGAATCAGCATCGACTCCAGGGCAGTGCGTTTGATTTGGTTTTGGCCCCCTCCCACCCATGTGACCATGACAGATTTTCTTTTCATTTTAATAAGCCCATGTTTGGGAACCGATTGTGGTAGCAATTGTACAATACTACTTGATGTGATTGAACTGTCGAGTGATATGATATATGTATTAGCTCCCAATTTAAGAAAAAAAGAAAATACATTTAAATGTAATAAACGTTTGCATTTGAACTATAATTTGCAGGCATCACTTAAGCACATTACAAATATGAATTACTTAATTCTCATAAACCTCTACAAGGTTGGTTCAGTGATAATCATCCCCATGTTGAAGATGAGAGGGTCTTTGTGTGGATTTCTCTGCCAGCTGCACTTCCGGGACGCTGCACGAAAGCTTCCAGAACCTCGAGGGTCGAGATGCCAGTGCTGCTGACCCTCGGCCCCTCGACCCTCCCTCCCACGTGGGCAGCCAGGGCAGCCCTGGGAAACGAAGGCAGCAAGAGGCTGGGACTGAGCGTGCGTCCAAACCCCAGCCCGCCCTCCGGCTCTGCGCTGAGCCTGCTTCCAGCCTCCTGCAGGGCTGCCTTGCCAGCAGATGACTACACCCGGTCTTCTCTTTTTCCTCAAGCCTCCAAAACCTTCTTCCCCAGCCTTCTTTTTAAAGCAGATGTTCTTAGAGCAACTTTAGATGGAGAGGACAAGTGTGCACCATGACAGGGAGTCCCCCAGTCTCCCTTCCCTGCACGTGGCTTCTCCCATGACAAGCACTGGACTCTCTTGGGCCAGCGTCTGGGGTGGCTGGTACTTGCCATGGATTCGATTCCTTCTGACTCACGCAAAGTCGAACTGTTTCACAGCCTCTTTGGGGAGCTGAGCCTGGGGGCCGCCTTCCAAAATGCCTGTGGGGGAGCTTGAAAGGCAGGCCTATGAGCAACCACCTCACCAGTTGGCACCATCCCGGGATTCCGGGAACCAAGGTTGATATGTTCTTGATGGGAGTCCCCATTGACAGGGATCACAGTTTATGTGTCATCCTGTGAGCTTTGACGAACGCAGACTG